TTTTATCGTAAAACCGCAACCGAGAGCGAATACGATAAAAAAGAAAAATTATAATACGCGCGGGCGGATTTCTCACTTCCTCGAGACGTTTATATTTACAAAAAAGTTCCTAGGTGTCCTTTAGATTATAGAGAAAGCCTTAGATATAAATTCTAAGAATTGTAGATGATTAGATATATATATATAGATCCTGATAGATAACACACATTAATTTGCAAATTAATTGTGAATTCTTGGGTCTGTGGATTCTTACACCTTTGAAAGTGTAGATTGTTGAACTATTAGATATTCGCGTCATCCTTATAGGATTCATATAGATCCTCGAATTCTTGGACTCGAGAATTCTTTAGCTTTTAAAAAATTCAATTGTCTTGAAATTGTTTTCCTTTTTGTAATTGGGCTGTGTTAAATAGTAATCTTATATTGAAGAACATTATTTGCGAAATGATTGTTATTCAGATGAGTGATTTATAACGCACGACTCGAGGAACACCGGGAAATTCGTGAATACCGACTTGGCTATTCAGAGACAACGACACAACGCATTATAAAGTAATAATGATAACTTAACGTTAATCGATTACTATTACGATCGCTCACATCGCGAGAAGTGATGACGACGATGATCATTGCATACAGATTATCTTCGAATTATCGTGTTTCCTTTAAAAATTCATTCTGGAATAACAACGATATGTTCAAGCATTTCGTGAATTTAATATGTTTTGACTTACGAAATAACTTATGTCGACAGGTGATTTATGTTAAATATGTTCGTCTGGTTATTTCTTCTTATTATTTGCAACTTGAAAGCTACTTTTCTTATATTCGAAGCAAGAATCATTGTCTTCGATTTTTTTTTTCTAAAGTATTTACTTTAAAAGAAACGTGATAGTTCGAGGATATTTGTGGTTAGAAAAGTTAGGCGTTAAGCAAGATACATTATTAAGAAAGAAGTTAACAAATATGTGGTTAAGTAGGTAGACTTTAGCTTTATACACAAGAGAGTGTTAAGGGAATATTCATGGAAATGAAAGAGAGAAAAAGAGAGAGAGAACGAGAGGGAGAATGAGTGAGAGAGAGAGAGAGAGAGAGAGAGAGAGAGAGAAAGAAAACTTTGCCGATTGTGAATGAATTATAAAAAAGGAAGAGCGTTAAAAAAACTCCGCATTTTCGACTGCCATTCGAGATAGCAATGATTCGTTGTACCAACATGTCCGAGCGAACTTGTGCGATGTTTGTGGGAAGGAGTTATTATCGCTGTCGCAAGAATTACAAAGACGTTCAAAATCAATCATGTTTTCTTTACTTGCAGATTCATCAGTCACTTTTAAATTAAATATTAAAAATTTAACGAGGTATCATTTTATTCATAATCTTTTAAATTCTTGATATGACTGTTCAAAAAATTGTTTAAAAGATAAATATTATTCAATAATAAATAGCTTCAAAATTAATTTTCTAAAATTAATTAGTTTCAGATTATTAAAATGTTACATTAACATTTTTAATTGTTATTCTTAATTGAAAAAACTTTATTAAATATTAATGATAGAATTTTGTGCGCAAATTAAAGTGTCATTGATTTGAAGATCTTTGTACTGTTGTTTCTTGTAATACTTTTGTACTTTGAAATACTTTTTATTGTTATTATATTAATAATTGTATTAATATTATTGTTTTCTTGAAATGCATAAGACTATTACAAGAGTTTTATAATATGATATTATATAAATATTTAAATTTTTCATGTAACTCAAAAAATTTAAGTGTAAATTATTTTAAATCAAAATTTGTCTAACGTTTTAATGTGGACATTGTTATATTTTATCCTGTATTGAACTACATATATATATATATATATCGTGAGAAATAAGTTGTTATACTTGTGGAATAAAAAAGAATTTTAATTTATTTAGTAAACAAATAATGTAAGAATAGTGAATATTAAAATAACAAAGAATAGTGATGAGAAGATTTTATTAATTCTCCTTATTTCAATTATTGAAGTTAAACTTCGTTCCTTTTCTCACGAAAAACTCTATAAAATTGGATAATTAATTTATGATGGTAGAATAGATTGAAATTGATATGAAAATCTTTCGACAATTTCAATAAACTTTTTGTTTTATTTTATATTGATCATATTTATTCTTGACGATAGCGTACGTTCGATATTATTGCGGACCAGACTCTTCGTGATTTCGTTAAACCAAGAAGCAATACTGTTGATGCCTATGACTACTATTATCGAACGAGTGTTTAAGTAAATTACAATATAAATCCTGGAACCTTAATATAAAAGTCTAATCATTTTTATTTATATAAAACAATTAGGCATTTATATTGCAAACATAATTTAAAAAATTAATTCAGTTTCAATAAATGTTATTCATATAATACGTATGTATCAAAATACAAAATAACACATTTAAAAAATTATATTTGCTATTATTAGAAATAATTAGGGTTCTAGGATTAACAGCGAAAGATTTGAAACTTATATGACAACTTTTCGCAGATTTGGAACATCTTTATAAAACAAAGTTAAGCATTTCAGAATGTAATAAAGAGATCAGTTGAAAGGGGTAACCATAAAAATAAAAAAAAATTAAGCTTGGATTTTAATCTAATCTAAGAGATTTATGATAAAAATAATTTGAAAATAAGTCTGAGCTTATTTTTCTTTTATAGCCAAGATATTTGCGAAGAGATGTCTTTAAATTAAGAACGATTTAGAATAAAATTGTTTATGGAATTTAGCAACACCGAATGTGGAACGTGAGAAGGAATAAATGAGAATCGCACGAAGCTTGCTCGGAAAATGAATGGAAGGTCGTGAATGATCTGAAGATTGCTTAGACTTGAAATTTATAAACAAACTCTTTAATTCATAAGTTTGTGCTTTTCTAAATTTAGGAATCTTTAAATTTTTTTCTCTGTATTTTCATCTAAGATTAGTAGTAATTAATTTTAGTCATAAAATCAAAAATTGAATATACCCTAAGGAATATATAAATCTTGGCTACACACATATTTGAATATTTATTAATTAAGATTTTGCATTCTTTCGTAATTTCCAATACATATCTCTTTCGAACATTGAATTTTATATTAAAAAATTGCAAGTAATAAATTTATATTTTCCTTAGAATTTTTTAGAATTCAATTTTGAATTTATTTAATTTGACAATTAAATTTAAAAACATATTTTTTTCTAATCTTATATACATATATGAAGCACATTAAAAACAACAAAAAATGCGCTAAAATACATGTACGCCTCAATCTTTCACTTAATCAGTATTTATCATATTATTTATATAAAACGATACAGTTTATCTTCAACAGTATTTTAATTGAAGAATCACTGTAATAGTTATATCATATAACTGATGTAAGAGTTATGTACAAGAGAATCTTACTTTAGAAGGCGTAATATTAATATGGACAAAAATGCGTTAAATTAAAATAAGTTTTATGTAAACGGATTTAATTGTTAGATCACTTATTTTTCTTATAATTTGTTAAGTATATGTGATTTTATGGCTGAGATTCTAGAATCCTCGAATTGGAGGATATTTGTGGCAGACGAAAAAGAGAACGCTGAAGAAAGAACAGGAAGCTCGCGTGAACAAAGAAAGCAAAGCAAAAATGACGGTGTATGGCGGAGGAATAAAACCCTTGTATAAAGTAGCAGTGCGTAGCGGCTAACCTAATCGATAAAGGAATGATACAAACGAGTTTATTGTTGAATATAATAATGTATTATGTAACATTAACAAAGTAAAAAAAAAAGGAAGAGAAAGAGGCGAATGATGATAATATTATATTGTTGTTAGATATATATATATTATATATATTATATAAAAAAATCTTAGAAATTAAGTGACCACCCAACATTCACCCACACAAGTATACACTCTCGCAGGATATACAGGGTGTCTCGACGAAAATGTATTTCAGTAGAGGAGACGCTTACTGCTCGAGTAAAATTTGTGTTTGTTTTTTTCTAGTGATGACTTAATCCGAGATATTTGTTGAAAATTAATAAAAAGCAAAAATAACTAAATATTTTACTTTTTTATCAATCATACCAATTACTTCCTTGATAAAATCCCATTTTAGATAGAAAAAATTGAATTTTTCTTTTCCAATAATCGTTTGTTTTTTTCATTTTTTAACAGTCCATTGAAAAATCTCAAAAGGATTGAAACAATTAATAAAATTTCTTGTTAACTTTGAAACTTTAACTTTTGCAACGTATACATATGTTACTAATTGCACGATTTAGAATTATTCTTAGATTTTACCTTACTATTATGTTATTAATATAAACGTATATTTATTAATATATTAATTATTAAATCAATATTCACAATTTTTTAATACATGTAAGTTTCTAAGAATTTGCTTTTTCAAAGTAGATTCGAATAATGTAACAATATAAAATAATGATTCGCTGTTAAATCTCAAATAATAATTTATTAATTAAAACTAGACTATTTTTATAAGATGTCGTGCGCGAATTTAAGAGTCCCATCAAAACATAACTGAACATTTTTGCTGTGTTTGCTCATTATTGATTTTGTTTATGTAATTAAATTCCAATTTCGAAACATGCGCTAAGCAATTTTATTGTGACACGATTGCAGAATCATGCACACGACCTTAGTAAATGCGAAATTTCAGTACATGTGAAAAGGTCTTTCAGTTTGTTGTGTTAATTTTTTACCCACATACGTGATATTTTTATAAATATATTTTAAAATTTTATAAATTTCTTTATATATTTATATAATTTCTTATATTGTCAGAATTGGATATTTTTAATGTAAATTTTCTTTTACAATTACATCAAAAAATTTTTTCGTGTAAAAATGTGGAGATATTAAGACTAGAAAATTTTCAGTTATTTCGAATTAATATATACCATATATAATAAGATAAAGAATGAGAATTGGGTGTCAAAATCAAACGAAATACACACTTCTGGAGAAATGAAAAGTTATCGGGAATATGTTTGCTTGCTTTTGCGAGTAATTCCTTTTGTCACGAATTGCCTCGCGGAAAATCTGATACTTAACATAAATGTCAAGAAACTGATTGCAGTAACCGATCACGCATTTCTCAGTTTCACTCTGGATCCAGCAACATTGCAGTACAATGACTTTATGTAAGTATTAAAAAAAAGAAAAGAATACTGATAAACATAAATAAAAGATTAATTAAAAATTAATAACTTAATAATTTTTAAAAAATTAATATGATCTTAATGGCAACATTTTAGTTAGAAGTTTTTCAATGTTTCATTGAAAGCTTTTATTAGTAATTATAATTTTTATTACATATTTCTCTCTCTCTTTATTACATTTTAATATTATAAAATTTAAATCATAGAAATTTTATTATTGAAAAATCATAATGCAATTATAATAATCAAGTTTGAATGTTATTTATTAAGAGACACAGTAGTGTCTTACACTTAAAAAAAAGTTACAATTTACCTTTTTTTAGTTTAAAAAAAATTATTTTCTTCCACATTATAATAGTCTTTTTATGCAAGAAAAATGTGTATTATCAATTATTCAGCAAAAATATTGAGAAAAGCACGAATTTGGCGCGAGGGTTAGCACCTGCTTACATCCGCCTTGGAGGACCACAAAGCAATTTTTACAATTTTGAACAAGTACATTCGCACGAGGTTAATACAGATCCAAATAACATGCATTTTGGTAATATATAACATTTAATATGTTTCTTCTTCTCTTTTTCTTTTTCTTTACTTATAAATTTTGAGATAAAACTCAGAAATTTTTAATAAATAGATAATGCAAATTCAAAGTTTAATCAATAAAAACTAGACTTCCTAAATCCTTTGATTTAATTATTAACAAAATGTGCCTTTATATATTGTCATTCATACGACAGTTTCATGATAGTATACCGAGCCTGACCGCGATGAGTGCATGCATTGAAAGGATAGCAAGGACCATGTCAATGGAAGAGGACGATGCAATTGCACAGTGTTAATGTCGTTAATTTATTTTGCGGTTGCCAGTAGTTACATGCACGTCCATTAGCTTTGATGGCAGGAGCGTGTAATGAATGTTATAATATGACGTCGGTACAAGCTTTGAGATAATAGTACAAGTTGCAAAAGCATTAATATTCGCTAATGTAATATTTAGATTATTGGATTCACTGATAGTGCATCAGCTGTCGAATATTTATTCAGATTGAAAAAGCGATACCGTTTACATATAAAATGCTATTGCATATAAAAAACTATTGCGCTACTAATCTGAAATACAACTACACGCACAAAGCAATGTTGAATAATTTCTTAGAATATTTTGTATAAAAAAATATAATAAGCTGACTAAATATTTATTTATTTTTAAATATTTATACCTTAGTCAAAGCCTATTTTGACATAAAATGTATACAAATTTAAGATAATGTAATTTGATAGGAACGCAATGGACATTTATTTATCAATGGGCAAAGAACGCCGGATTAGATGTAATCGCATGCATCAGTCCTCATTATATTGACAAAGAATTGAAAACGGATTCCACGGATCCTAGGAATATAGCAGAACTTCTCTCTTTCAGCGATCGCATGGGTTACAACATCAGTTGGCAATTGGGGTATGGTAAGTATTTCAAAAAGTGTATCGTTTTGGAAAGATAATAAATGAAATTAAGTGAAAGCAAAATACTTAAAGTCGCATATTTTAATTGTTATAGAATATTAAAAACATAATACTGTGTGTTTTATATAAAATATATATTTAATTTTAAATTGTCCTGAAGTATATTCATTAAATATATATGTTCATTAAATATTTATATTTCTAAAATATTCAATTTTGAGTCACTTTAAAATAAATACTTTTGATATAGAATGCCAGACGAGATGCAACTTATCTGGCGGAGATCTAGGACAATACGTCGCCAACTTGCACGAAATACTGAAAACTTTTCCAAGATATTCTAATAGTTTAATCACGGGACCAGATATTTTAGCATACAGAACAGCGTATCAACAGAAATACCTTCAGGATTATTTACATTCGGCAAATGCTGCGCTTTCTGCGATTACATGGCATCCGTAAGTATTTCTTTCTTACGTTTTATGTAATACAAAAAATTTAACTTAATTTAATTTAAAAAAGTTAATTAATTAAATTAATCTAAAAACTATTTTATTACTCTTTTTTCCTATATAATTCTTATTATATAATAAAGATTTATATGCGTGGATAAAATTATAATTAAAAGCCTACATTTTATTCAAATTAAATATTATAATAACATATAACATCTTAAAACAATATAAAATAAAATCATAAATATATATTAAGATAATAGTTGAACCTTTTGATAAATTGAATATTATTTAATTATTTGTTAATTTGATTTTTATTAATAATTTCAGCAATTTGGATAGCGTTCCTTTAAGTGATAATAATATTTCGATATATTATGATAACCTGATTGCCGAAAAAGATGAGTTGTACAAAATCATTAATCACGTAGGAAAAAAACCATTATGGATTGGTATGAATATTTCAAAATTATTATATATAAATAAAATGCTAATATTAAAAAAAATTTAATTAATTAAATATTTATTTATGAATACAAATTTTATATTTATGTTTATTTTTAATATTAATGTTTTATATTTATATTACTATATATAGCGGAATCAAAATCACAAGAGAGTGAACACCAATATCTAAAAGCGCTTATCTGGATAAGAAGACTTGGAGATACTGCCAAGCTCGGTATACAAGTTGTGATGAGACAATTGACAAACTTGTCTCAAGCTACTCCTGTAAGTCACTCATTATTCTAGATATATGAATTCTATTTAAATGTAAATAAATTTTAATTAATGTAATAGAATAAAGACACATTTTATTAATTAATATTAAAATTATTATTTTTTATTAGGCTTATTGGGTATCGTTATTGTATAAAACTTTAGTCGGTCGTGAAGTTTTGGAACTAAAGCTTCAATCCAACAGTGAAAGTTACGTGCACTTTTACAGTCAATGCACAAAACCGTCAGCGCTGTACGGTAAAGGAGCTGTTACGATTTTCGGTATAAATTTAACACCGAAGACAGTGACTACTAGTCTAAAAGGTCTTAAAATAAAAATTCTTCACAAGTATATTCTATTACCAGAGTTTGAAATTGCAAATAAAATGATTTCAGAGTAAGTAATTTTGTTATCTACAAATACTTCTATATAATGAAAGATAATAATAATATCTATATAATATATCTCTATATTATATAGATATAATAATATCTATATTAAAAAAACCATTTATCCTATTTTTAGCAATATTATATGAAAAATAAAAGTATTACACACAATATCTTATTCAATATATGTATTAATATAAATGTATCATATATAAACAATAATACGCTTTTTCATATTACTTTTTTAACACATTGAGCGCTGGTGACACACATACCGTGTCACACTGACTCTCATCGGTAGCCGACAACACATCGTGTGACAAAATAATCATTTCCAAACATTGGATAATTTAAAGCTTCGGCTCTTACGGTACACATATAAAAATTGATTGGCACTCAATATGTTAATGAAGTATGCAATGCAGCATTTATATTTCATAATAATTCATTGTACATTGTACAATAACAAATTTATTCCTAAGTTATAAATATAAATTTTTTCAGGAAAGTTTTGTTGAATAATGAACCACTTAATTTAAAAAACGATAAAAATTTGCCTGATATATATCCTGAAATTATTATCAATCCTGATGGTCTTGAACTAGAACTGCCTTCTGGCGGCATAGGTTTCTGGATTATACCTAATGCAAAGGTAATTAAAATTACCAATAACTACATTATACAATAAAATTAAAGAATTACTTATTCCATCTTGCAAAATAGGCAAATTTTGAGAGAGACAATATAGAATATCACAAAAATCATCGTATTGAAATGTTTACAAAAGTATTTTACAGCTTAAAATCTCTATTTTATAGATCGATCTTTAAAAAACGGTTTTATCAATATTTTGTGAAATTACACGAACATAAATGAAGTTGGAACTACGCAAATAATATCGTAAAAAATGTTAAGATCTGATGCATCTTCATTTATGTTAGTATTGTTAGTGTAACTTCGTAAAATATCAGTAAGAGAGTTTTTTTAAGTACCGATCAGAAAAATAAAGATTTCAAGCTGTAAAATGCTTTTTTAAACATCTCGATATGATGATTTGTAATAAAGTTATTCTATTTTGAAGTTTGCTTATTTTTGTAGGATGTAACAGGTAATCCGTTAATTATGTTAAATAGTTTATTTCGCTTATGTGTAATTATGTAGATTTAACAATACATCGATAATCAAAGAAAATATTAATTAAACAGGTAAAAGCTTGCACTTGTTCTGAAGAAGAAATAATCGGGGACAATACAGTGAAGAAATTATCGAAACGGCATGAAAATAACATTCAACAACTTAATCAAGAAAAAGAAGAAGATATAAATCAGTCAAATTTAAAAAATGAAAAGGTTTACGATAAACAAGATAATGAAACACAACAAAACGTAGAAAATATAAGTAACAAAAATCAGCAGAAAGCCTGGAGTTCTAAATTACTGGACAAAATGACAAATTTTTTACAAAAAAGATTACAAAAGATAAATAAAAATGATTCCTCGCAAAAATCAGTCGTATTTAATTTGGAAGAAAAAAAAAAATCGTCTGAAGAAATAGAAGAACAACAAAATTTAGACTCAAAAAAGTTAAAAAAAACGGAAATTGATGATAAGTTTAAAAATATTCAACATTTATTAAATAAGTATAAAAGGATTCTATTAGAGAAGAAGACTATGATGGATACCAAAAATATTCAACTTTTCCAACTAGAAATAAAAAATATTGATAATGTTATGATGTTAATATCAAAAATTGATGCTTTTATCCTTTATAACATAACTTTAAAAGAATCAGATACGAGCGAAATCAAACATAAAACACAAAATAAAGAAGAGCTAATAATTAAAATAAATAAAAAATTAAAAGAATATTTAAGCGAATTAGAGAATTCAGTTGAAATAAAGACAAATATAATTAAAAAAATAGAAAAAAATTTCAATAAACTTTATAATTTATTAGAATACAACGATTTAACAAAGGACAACAAAAATAGTCAAGTCTTTAATCATAAAGATTTAATGGAGCAAAAAAAATTTAAAAGACATTTGGATAAAAAATCGAAAAATTCTCAAAAAAATAGTATACTTGAAAAACCTCAAAAAAATAACTTAAAAGATTATGTGATTAAACAGAAAATACAACAGAAAAATGATAATAATATAGATAACGTAAAAAAAAATTTTATTAATAGTAAAAATAAATATGACAATCCGCTTCAACGAGATCCTGTTAAAAGATTTTTCAAAAACGATGCTTTTGAAAATGCTAACCGCCATACTAATCATCAACATTTGGTTCAAGAAAATAATAAAATAAAAAATGACAATATCTGCAGAAAGTACTCTAAAATTAATGATATGGAAAAATATCAAAATTTAATACAAGAAAGAATGAAGAGAGACAATACCAAAAAATGGGTTGAGACAGATCTGAAAGAAGATAGTGCATCCAGGAAACACTCAAGAATCGACGATTTGACAAATTACGTAAATGAAAGAAAGATGAAACCGAAAGACGGTGTTAGAAGGGAATTATTGCTTCCATTTAATCCAAGAATTGATAGCGATGAAAATAATTTTTACGGTTTCTTTCGGCAAGATCCTGTTAAAGGATTCCCTGAGGGTGACATTTTTGTGACTGCAGGAGATTCATTAGAGCAAACTGATGATGGTTACGATTATGTTAAAAATGAAGATAACAATAATAATAATGGTTTAAAGAAAAAGAATACACAACATAGTCAAAAATCGACATTAGATCATGCGAAAGATAATACTTGGATTGAAGAAGTTAAAGATGATCATTGCGATTACACACCAAATGAATTCTTTGAAAATATACAATCATCTAATATAAAGATACAAGAAAACTCCAAAAATTATGATGATCTAGGGGAAGCAGAATTTCTTTCTGAAGTACATAATAACAATAATAAAAATAATAATAAAATTGCTATCACAAAAATTATTCGAAAACAGCCACTTAATGAAGAAAACGAAAAGCATATTAAAAAAACGAGAATTCAACGGTTAGTTCACTACTACGATGATTTAAAAAAACAAGAATTTAATCGGGATAAACTACAATCAGCTTCAAGATATCCTTCGACGTCTTTTAATCATCTTCTCAAAATACCAAATTCCAATATTAATTATCAAGAGTCGAATGTAAAATTTGAAGGAGCAAAATTGAAAAAGAAACCAGAATCAAAAATTTCAAATTTTTTTTATCCACCTTCTGAAGCTTCTACTATCAGATACAATTATAATAATAATTATCAAATTTCAAATATGAATTACGATACATTAAAAGAAAAAAATGGCTTCGATAAAGACATAGATAGTAGTGATAATGCAAAAATAACTGAATATTCTAGACCTAATCTGTATGCAGAACATTCTGTTTATAATAATATTTTTCATAATAAAAGAAATAAAAGAAGTAATTCGGAAGAGCTCCGAAAGATTTTTGTTCAAGAAATAGTTAAGGAAGACGAAGAAAACGCAAGAGATTGTCATTGCAGGATCATTCGAGCTTCTGATTCGCCAAAGAAGCTTTACTATCATCGTATGAAACGAAATATTTTAGTACCTACAGCCAAGGTTACAGATACTTCTTTAGAAAATACAAATGAAAGTGCAAATGTAGCACAATTCCTAAAGGGTCTTACAACAGAAGAAGAGTACCAAGAAATTATGACAGGGGACATACTTCCAAGTACAAGCGATATTGAGCCTGATTATGAAGAAAATGATATAACTACTAAATCTGTAATCACGGAATTAAGAAAATTGAATCATAACTTGAGTAATACAGCGCATGAAGTTAATAATGCGAAGAAATCTACAACTAATCTATTACCTGTAGATTTAGATTCAAAACTTTCTATAAATAATAATGATAGTGTTAAGTACATTACAGAGGAAACGTTTTTTCGTACCCAAGATATTCAATCAGAAAACAAGACAAAGACGTATGATTCTCCACAAATTATTTCTAAAACTTTTTCAGAAAATAAAAATGTTCGGGAAGAAATTCCTATCTCAACTACTAACAACGCCCAAGAAACAATCTACAAAAAAATACAAGAACTCAACAAAAAGGAACCCGATAGTTCAATCTATCCAACAATCACCGAAGATAATAAAAACGAAGAAGGGAACAACAATAATTATAAAATTAGTTTGAAGTCAATTAATCCTCTCAAAGAAACAACAAAAGGAATTGTCGAGCAAGTAACAATGGAAACAATTTTATTAAAGCGAGCAGCAAGTACTGCAATCGATAACACAAAATCGAATGAATTACTAATAAAATCAAAGTTACTACGAAACACACACATAGAAGACAATCAGAATAGTGAATCTGCTTGGATACCATTGGGGAAAGATGCCAACATGAGAAGATTAAAGACTAAACTGCAAAATCTTCCTCAAACATCATTAGGACTCACTAGATACGAAAAACATTTGACCAAACGCGCAGAGCAGACTGATATAAAGCTGAAAGAAAAATTATATGCAAGACGGGAGAAATTGTTGCATCAATATCAAAATAAGCTAACAAAAATTGCTAACGAACAGAAAAGAAATTTGAAGAGAAAAGAAGGCGATGATAATTTTCGTCGATTAATAGATATATTAGATATTCATCAAGTTTTTGCAAAATTGAAATCTGGCAAAGCCCAACATCAAGTTTCTAGATTACAAGAATACATAAAAAAATTGCCAATCAAAGATTATTATGATCAGGAACGTACTAATAGTACTAATAATCTAGATAAACAAAAACAATATGATCTATCGAAGAAACTCCCAGAATTTGCACAAGTCTGGTTGATTTCTCTTAATCGAAGGAATGTCGATCAAGCTAACAATAAAGAAATAAACAAATTAAACGATATACATAAAAATTTTAAAGCAGATAGAGATAATTTGAATTCGACATTTGCAATAAATGAAACAATAGAATTTATAAAAAGTTTTGGAATTGAAAGGAAGATAGAAAATAAAGAATTTGACAGTTCTAATGATAAAAAAAGAAACATAATGCATTCAGAAACAACTGAAGATGCTGAAGATGTAAAAACTAAAAAATACGAAAACGTTGAAATGACAAAGCATGAAAAAATTAATGAGTCTTACAATATAAATGATAAAGTAGAAAATAATTTAAATATTACAATGTTTAACAATAATAAAACAGTCGAACATGTAAAAAATATTGAAGATAATGCTAAAGAGGAAGAACTTGGAAAAAAGAACTCACGGTTTCGGAGAGGTCTTGGAAAACAAACGTGCAAATGTACAGACCAATTAGCACCTTCTATTCAGTAACGTATTTTATCTTTTTAGTTCTTATTTATATGGATAAATTTACGATTAGTTGAAAAGTCTTAATTCTTCTGGCTCTTATTTTTATTAGCATTAATTTATTATTTTTTTCTGCTTTTAGGCTAACTGAAAATAGGAAAAAAATATTAACCAATATACAACACCGTTTAAAGGAAGAGTCTATAAAGAAGATATTTGACACAAAACCAATGACGGTTTATCTGCTAACAAAAAATAATAAATCATCAAATGTTAGTCGGATCTACAGATCAAAAAATTACTCAGTTTTTTCAAGGAAAGATTTCGTTAATCAACAGAATCAGAAAAAATATAACTTAAATTATATCACGCTGACACCGATACCGATTGAAATTAAGAATATTTTGGAAATATTAGATACAAAGACTAATGATGATTCAACGGAATCTTTCGAGATTTCACAATGGGACGATCAGAATGTATTAGAAGAAATTCTAGATTTAATAACTGAACAATTAAATGACAAAACATTAGAGGAATTTGAATATGAAGATCCTTCAAATTTGCAAAGTGAGAATAGTGAAATTATTCTACATGAAGAGAATTATATGTACGAAAATAAGCAAGATGTTACGGCGAATGACAGTGAAATCGAATCGGAAGAAGATGAAAAATATAAAATCACAAACGACGAAATCAATAAATTCTTAAAAATGGAGAACCAAATAGGATCTAAATGTGAAATGTTTTTATTGCTTTCTTGGGAGAATGTGAATATACGGCAACAAAGACAAATCAAAAGTGAAATCGATGAAGACATAGCTGAAATAAAACGCAAGGTGAATTATTCTAATGCAATAAAAAATGATTGAAAGGAAAACTGATTTTATTATGTATATTATTTTTAATTTTTTAAACTTGTTTTATTTTATACTTATAAAATTTTATTAGTAAAAATTGCAACTTTTTTACATTATTAATATTATTATATTTAATATACCATGTTTTGTTTTTTTTAAGATTACAAAACAATCACAACCAAATAAATCCTTTCTAGCTGAAGATCGCGCAAACAAACGTACAAAGAGATATTATTTAAATAACAATATTGATGAAGAAGAAGAAAAAAATATGATAGAGACAAAAAGAGTAAGTTATTTACAACCTCAAACAAAAAATAGCGACAATCTGATTAAAGATTTTGTAAAAACGTATAAGAAGAACAATTTGTATAATAATAAAGATTATTCTGTAAAAAATGAAGAAACAACTAAAATTAAACCATTAAATAATATTTCCAAAAGTGATAAAAAAATATTGCAAAAAGAAATGCCAAGGCTGCAAAGTCACACGGAATCCATGGAAGAATTTGTAAATGATTCCAAAGAGAATTTCAATGATACTTTAGTAAATGGAGACAAACATAGAAATGGGACTTCCGGAACTACTGACAATGTTTTCTATATTGAAATTATGAATATAAAAGATCTTTTAGCATTTTTTGCAAAAATGTCTCGAATGTTATACGCATAACTTTTCAATAAATTGAAAAATATAATTATAGTATATATAAATAGTATATATTTATGTATTTATATAGGTATGTAGTATATATAATACGTAAGATATGTATAAATATAGTATAATATATACATATCTTTATATTTATAATATAATTTATATGTATATAAAGATAAATAAACTCTTAAATTCTTACGTATTGATACTTTATATAATAAATATATATATTCTCACACACATGTGTATTTGTAAATTATAAAAATTCCTAATTACATAGCATTATTTTTTAATACATAGTATAAAATAAATATAAAAAAAAATATAACTCTGCATGAAAAAAATAAAAAAATAAACTTTAAAACGTAAAACTTTTAGGTACAAAATTTTCCACAGAAAAGTAGGAAGTTTTAAGTTTTACATAAAAAAGTAGTAAAAATTTTAAATAATATTTCTCAATATTTCATTGATTATCTCAAAAATAAAATTTTATATTTTAATTTTTTACTTATATCTCAATGAATTATTATGTATATGTGTTTAAAACTTATCTAGTTCTAAAATGTTTCATACTTATTAAGTTGCACACTTATTAAGTTATATTACGATTAAAATATTTCTATATGAATTTGTATATGATGTAAATATTAATCTATATATGATATAAATATTAATCAAAAGCATTATATGATTTATGATATATATTATTAAATAGAATAAAAAGATCTTAAAAGATGTGAAAATATATTGTATATATGATATTATATAATATGTATAATATTATATTGGATGGTAATAAATTTATTCCAACGTATACAAAATGTTGGATGACCTTTCTTTGATCTTCTTTTTCAAATTTAAAAAAATTATACGTTATTATATACATATAGATGTTTAAATACAGATTGATCAACATTATACAAGTTTTTTTATTATAAACATAAGATATAGAACAAAAACTATTATTACACAATTATGTTTCAGCATTCATGTAATGAGTCAATTCTAAAAGCAGTATTGTTAGACGCGTAACTTATTGTTGTAAAACTTGTAAGAACTTATAACTAGTATTCTAAAAGCGTATGTATCGTAAAACGTACGATTGTTTAGAATATGTTACAAGCCTTATGATTCTACTTATAATTTAGGTACAAACTTATTCTCAGAAACTACTAGAACCATCTATACATACTATAATGTTCTAAAAAAACTGAAAAAATACATTGTTTTATTAATATTGCATCATTTAGCATGCACAATATAATTTAATTTTTTTTTTTATAAACAAATTATTTATTATTTAAGAATACATCAAATTGCAATAATAATATTATTCTAAAAATATCAGGAGACGCGGTAGTGTCACCGGCCATGTTCAATAATATTATTCTTAATGATTAAAGTAAATTTTACCAAATTTTCATTTTAAGGCTAAAAATTATTTCAAGGTTACTATTTAATAAGTCAATTAATTATAGATTCAAGATTCTGTTATAATTATTTTAAGGAAATGCAAATATATGTTTCGTAATTGCTTTATAATTGTAATATATTATAGAAGAATATCATCCATATTCGTAGAATTGCGAGAAATATTATAACTATATAAGCAATTCTTAAGAAAATTGGGTCACTAATGATTGAATCAAAAGTTGTTCGTACACATACATATATACAATATTGCGACATAATTAACAAGTTAAATTTCATAACGATGTGATGATAGAATGTATGTACAATCATCAAATCACCGTATGATGCAGTGCGCTTTTGATCATGATCGAGTTCAGTTCATTTTTGAAGACGTCAGTACAAAGTAAATTTTGCCGTATTTCCATATAATATTTCCATATAATATTTACATCTTTCAGTTTATATTTAACCTAATGTAAATTAAAATTATAAAATTAATTAGTTATTTAATAAGTGTGACAACTAATATTTTATTTAACTTATTTAATCTCTATATTTCTATTTAAAAATTGTATATAGGATATTTATAATTTCTTTTGCAATCATTATTTCAGATATTTATTAATATAATTTATTAAATTATCTTAATCAGCTTAACTGTTAATCTAAATTATTTCAACTCTTATTTTTTCAGTTGTTACATGATGTATGTCCAAAAATATATTATAATTTATTTAATATTATATAAATATTATTGTAACAATATTATTTTTCTGTACAATAAGAATTTTGTGTTTACACTCAAGGAACGTAATAATATCCAATAGTTGAAGAGAAGTGATCAATATGAATGAGAAAATTACTTTGTGCCTTTTGACTCTATCGATGATTGCCCGTTCAGAAGAAATATCTACTGCTAAAAATATAGAAACTGCAGATTTGTTAAATCCAAGGTAAATAAAATATATTATTTTGTTAGTTAAATAATTCTTAATATACACGATCAGATTATTAGTGTCTTGTCATTTTCTTTTCTCATTTTTTATCTTTAAAATACTAGAAGTATTTAGTTAAATAATAATCTCTGTTTTTCCTTTTTTTTTAATATACACCTTTATAAATAGTTTTTTTTTTAAAGATGTTAAAGTATACATAAGAATCACATAATAATTTTGTATACTTGTAAAAATAATGAAAATTAACCCGGGACACAAATCATGTGTGTACTATTTTATCGTGTATTAATAGAAATGATTGGAATATCATCGTATGTACTAAAGATTAAAGTATTAAAGTTTAAATAAGAAATATTTTGATTCTTTTTCAATCAATTTTTCAAAATGCAGACGTAAAAGTATGTTAGTCGTACTTGCATAATTGTTTGTCAGCAAAATCATTAATGTCATTATCATATTATGTTTCATACATACAAATACACAATAATCTGCTTCGTCACAACAAACTGCTGAATTGAGAATTTTCAATCTAAGGTTGTCTCATTGCATCATAATATCAATATAAGATATAGATAAAATGATAAAAAAATAAAAAATATTTTTTAATTAAAAAATAATGTTCCATGTATGACTTAAATGGAAAATGAAATTCCGTACGCATGATTTAAATAAACTCCAACAATTAAAATTGTTATCAATTTTATTGATGGATTTTATTGTCATCTAATTTATACATAATTGTCAAACACTTATAGATAATATGTTATAATTATAAGTGCTTATATCTGTTCGCATTGTACTTTTTAAACTTAGAATCTTCTTTTTCTCTCTTTAACATTTAAATATATTTACCTTATTTTAACTAAACAATTTTTAGGGATTTCAAGCAACGCGATTATATTTTATACAAATTATTATTCAAAAATTTGGAAGAACTATTTTATCTTAAAACAATAGTGTTAATATTTTCAAAAAAATGAAGTACGAAAAATTTAACTCTTTTTTTAAGTATTCGACAAACTATTATTTTATTTAATCATATTCCAGGAAATATTTTATTTAAAGAATTTTTTATAAATCTTATAAGTTAGCCAAATAAAGTGAGCAAAATTAATTCAAATTAACATTTTTATTTGTTGCTCACCTCTTGCTAAAAAGTTATTAAAGAAAAAATTTATTGCTCTGCAAATTTTCTTAAAGATTTAATCTTTCCTTAGTAGAATATTATTTTTTAAGAAAATTGACAGAACAAAAAAATAAGTTCAATAAAATTTTTCTTTGGCAATTTTTTAGCAATAAATGAATAACAAATAAAAAATTCTAATTAACAAATGTTAATTAGTTAATAAATTTAAAAAAAGTTAAGTTCTGCTTGAGATAGCACTTAACTTGTATTCTTATTATTGTTCTGTTATAAAAAAACAAACTTTCATGCCTTAAATTAAATATAATTGTTTATTCACATGTTAATTATTTATTTATTAATCATAATTTAGTTTAATCACATTCTACTAATAATTATCGCTAAAAATGAATAAGATGCTCCAAATTCAAATGACAATTAAAAATTTAAGACATAAACATTTTAATAAATTAAAAATATTATTAAAATTCAGATATTGTACTAATTATTAATTTCAGTAATTAAAAGTAAAAATTATTATAAACTGTAGTTGCATAGTATATAATTAAAGCTTTATAACTCGCTTTATAATTGATTTCTTTTTACTGTACTTTTCAATTGCTTTCAAATTTTTAAACGGTAATGTAAGCATCATGTATGTAATAAACATGTTAAACAAATAAATATAGATTCTTTCTAAAAAAATATTTTATTACTTCTAGATTGTCGACAATTCTACCCTATCCATCATTATATAACGATGAACTTATAAAAGATAAATCAAAGAGATCTCTGATTTTATTAATGCCAGTATCACAAACACAAAATAAACATGAAAAATCAAAGGAAATGGTTCAAAAATCAAAGCGTTGCGGTACACATAAAAAAAATGGATTTTTGTCATCGACAAAAGAAAATAATACTACAGCAAACACAGCTGATAAAAATATTAACGTGGAAACCTTCCAGAAAAATTCAAATAACCATACTGTAAAAAATACAAAAAACTCTCCGAAAAACTCAGCGACATCAAAAAGAATGGTAGTTAATACAAATGAAGATAGAACTCTTTCACCGTTTAAGGATAATCTAAATGCGAAGGATATGGTTATAAATTTGAAATTTCCAGAAAAGACAAAGAAATGCAATACAGATAAATATATTTGTCATTGCGAAGAAGAGAATTGTTCTTCTAGCTCATCCAAAGAAAGTTCTTCAGAAACATTAGGTTCCTCCAGAGACGAACCTAAAAGAATAAATCATCAAGAAAGACTAACAAAACATGAAAACGCGAAAACAAATATCTTACAACAACAATCGCCAAACTTATATTATGAAAATCCTTATAAATTACCCTTTTCTAATTTAATCAATTATTTCCCAATACAACCTTATTCAGAAAAACTAAATGTCCCGCCTGTACCAGTCCTATATGGAATAACGCCAAATGTTTTATCTCACATGATTAGAAATAAAGGAAAATATATTGATGTCGGAATTCCTTTTATTCCATTTCAGGGCGAACCAAATAATTATCTAGTTAGAAATAATCAATATCAACCGATTATTCATAAAAAACCGTGCATTTGCTCACCTATAATAACCAATTCAGCTGAAAGTTCCATGTCAGTTACTAATTCACCTTCAACAGATTATGTTGATACGACAACTAATAAGGAAATAACAAAAGATCTTGAGTCAAACGATCCAATTGATATCACTGAAGAAGATCAAGAACATTCTCCTGAATTAACCACAGGAGTTTCAAATGTAGATACATCAACCGATTCAGAAGCAGAAACTAATTTAAATTTGACTGATGCAGCAGAAGAAGATAACACTGTAAGTCCTTCTAATTTAAATAAAATTGTGCAGAAATCAAAAGATTTTACCAAACAAACGGAAAGAAATCTAGATGATTCTTCTAAATTAACGACATATTCAGCAGATAATGTTGATACGAACAGGGAACCTTTCGTTACCTACGATATAACAAATGGTGGAAAATTTATAAATATAGACGAATGCATAAAACTATTTGGTCGCGATGTGTGCGTACTCAGTGCAATATCACCAAATATACTTTCTAAACAGGCACAAGAAAATAATCCTAACAAATATACTACGATTAGAATTCCAGAATATGCCACGCAAATATCCTCTAGAGAAGACATTAATCATTCAGATAAACTCGAAGCGACTGATCCGTACTTTGGATCGGAGTCATCCACTAATAAAATTAATAAATCAAATATTAATGAATATCTTGATTCAACAAGTATAAAATCAAATGCTGATATTGATGAAGATTCTTTGCGTGAATTTCATCCAGAATCTACGAAACAGATTTCTAAGTCAAATATCAATCATGATAAAAATACACCACTTAATACTGTAAAAAAATCACATGCTCTAATGAAGAAATTGATGGATCCGCGCGCGACAATTGATAAAACTACGACGGAAAAAAGTAAATTGTTAGGAAAAAGTAAAAGTCATAAAACTAAATTATTATTAAATCCAAGTGATGAGGAAACAGTAAATCCAACATCAAGTGAGAAGTTCCTTTATTCTACTCCTTCATATAAATCTAAGAGTGGTAAAGTAAATAAGTCGAAAGTTAATCAACAGAATCAGATAACAAGTACAAAATCTAATTCAAGTACTTCTCAAGAAGAGACAACAACAGTTATTAATTACGACTCTAAAACCGATTCTAAAGAGCAAGATAAAAACTATCTAAAAGAATCAAATGCGGATATTTATTCTGAAAAGGAAATCCCTCAAGAACATTTTGAAGAAGAAACTACAACTTGCTCTAATTTTAAAACTACAGATAATTTTACAGAGGAAACGGAAAAAGAAATAATAGGAATAGAAACTAGCATCAAGCCAGAAGAGATTTCTCAAGAACAATTTACGACAATGCATTATTTTGACGATAAAAAATCAAATAATTTAAACAAGAAAGAAAATATCACCAATAATATCAAAACGACTGATTTATCAATAAATAAACTACCATTTTGTGATAATACCTTGCTTTTAAATTCTATTAGGAAGGTCATTAATGACTTTACGTTGGATACTCGTTTAGCAAAAACAAGAGATTTTGATGAAAATATTCTTCAGACGCAAGGTCAAAATTTATTGCCAGAAATCTTGCAAATTCCAAATCTCAATGACATCTTGTTGTTGCCACAGATAGAAAATACAATTTTAGAAAAGGTAAAAAATGTTTTATCCTACGTCACAGCTATTCCTAGAGAAGCTTTCACAAACCAGTGGTCGCATGGTGTAATTACAAATACTCTACACAGTATATTAGATGCACTTTCTGGTTTTCATCACAAACTTCCACCGATGACGCTTGCAGAACATCAATTTAAAGATGGACAATGGAAGACCAATTTAGTGACTTTAGCTCCAATTTTAGATCAAAAGTTATCGATAGCAGCACCGACAAATTTGCGTAAGATCATCAAAGATCTTTTAAGCTCTCCGGCAATTGCATCGCAAATAAATCAGGATATCGTGCGGAACATAATTGTACAAAGCGTGAAAAATAATTTAACTAACGATGAAGATGATAAACTAGATAATTTAATAAGTCATGAACTAAATGACATTCTCCAAATGTTCAAAAATTCAGAAGATACTTATGCATTAGGAGAAAGCAGTGAAGTTATTAGTGACGAGACAGATACGGACACGACTTATATGCAAGAAATAGTAACAAGTAGTTACGAACTAGGAAGAAAAGTTGATAATTCAATATCAAATAGCAAACAGAATGTTGATGTGAAACAAAAAGATACAAAAATAAACAATAAAGAAACACGTACCAATCAGAAAGCTAAGAAAATATTAAAAAATAATGCAAACATATTGACTACTTCTGAATTTCCACAATTATTACAATTATATGAGAAAAAAGAAAAAGAAGAATCAACAAACGAAGGCAAAATAAAAGAAGATATTAGAAATCAAATTTTAAAGAAGATAGGTGGACAAAATGATGCAGAAAAGAAAATAGCTGAGTCACTAAAACCCAAAATAATTTATCACAAAGCTATATTACATAATAATCTAAACCTATTGGAACCAAATTCAACAGAAGCTGAACAATATATAAAAAATCATCCCATCGATAAAGAAAGTAATAAAGAAACAACAACGATTACAAATTTTATGCAAGAAACACCCAATTACGTATCGGATAACAAAATTTTAGAAAATATAGCAGGAACTAAGGATATGGAAGAAGTAAATACATTAAATAAAAATACTTTAACTACTACAACTGATAAGATTGATCCACTAATAATATTAGAAAGAATTAAATTTAATTTTCCACCAATAAAGTATTATTCGCCTGAAATTTTAAAATATGCAACAAATCGTATCGATGATAAAAATGTTGAAATTACGACAGCATCTACAAACATTGTACAAAAACCTTCATCCAATTATGCACAAGACGACACTCTATTACAAAATACAACAGAAACTAAAGAAGAAAACGAAACAGAATTCGGTCTAACTACTACATCTGGTAATTTAATTTCATCCACAAATGGAGAATATAAACCTACAATTATTTCTTTAACAGATAATATTTTAGAGCCGCAACAACACAATTTCACAGAAAATAACATTAAAATTCACGAAGTTACTACGGAGATTCAAAGAACTTACGCAAAAACTAAGTACTTCAAGGCAGGGCTTTCTGGTGATGATAGTTCAAGAATTAGTCAGCCTTCATTAGCTGGTGAAACTGCAAATATACGTATAAATAATGATAATGAAGACAGTAATGGCAATAGCAATAACGATAATAACAATCTAATTAATGAGATGAATAATACTGAAGATGTCATAAAAGCAAAAAAAGTGATCGTTTCTTCTTCTAAATTATCTGCCGTAAACGATAACTACTCTTCTGAGTTATTTCCTTCATCAATTGCTCCTGATAATATCTTGGAACTTCAGAGATCGCAACTTTATTACATCAATAATGGCGTAAGACTACCGCTAGAAATAAAGAGATTGGAAGATGGTTCTTATGCATTAATGATCTCCAAAAATATATGCGAGCAAATTCTAACAAGAAAATGTCCCTGCTGCGTACCGCTGCAAGGACATATAGTTCGATTATTAAAAAATCAACAAGAAGATATGCATGCGATGACAACAAGTATGAAAAAAAAAGATCGAGAAAATATATTAGGAAATAACAGATATCAGTTTCAACCATTTAACGCAGTGACGAGGAAAAGCATCCTAAAGGAACAAAAATTAAAGAATAAAGAAGAAAAAGAAAACAGAATTAACGAGCATTACTTATGGAAACAAAATGATGATAATCTCGCAATGATTTCAATGCCCGTCATCAATTTCGCAAAAAAATATAATTTATCGCTTGATTTCAATAAAGAAAAAATATTATTAAATAAAACTGAGTTGCAAAACAAAATACAGAATTATAATAACCCAATAATAGAATCCATGGAAGAAATTGAACATCAATCAGAAAAAAAGAACGTTAATAATTATGACAATATAAAAAAAGATGGATTATCGGATGAAAATAATATTGACGCAATTGATAAATTTTCAGATTTGATAAATTCGCGCAAGAAAAAGAATATTCCGAATATGAATTTCCCAATACTTCCCATTACTCAAAGAATTTTTAATTTTGGAAAGAATTCTAAAGAATTTGAAGTACGAAAGGTAAATGCAGAAATGAATCAGTCGAAAGTAGATCAAGAATTAAAGCTAACTGAAGTTGAAAATACAAACAATGTTCAAAATACTGTACAGAAGATAAATTTCAAGAATCAAGGGAACCTTATACCTAAAGAAATTAATATTTCCGAAGACTCCAAGATAAGCAAAGAAGAACAAAAATGGGACAAATTATTGGATATTGCTGAAGGTAATTACAATATAATTTATGATAAAAGATAAGAAATATTTTTAAAAATATGTAACTTTGTTTTAGGAAATAAGATTTCTCACGGACAGGAAAATAGGAAGCTGGAAGCAACAAAATTGATCAACGATAACTACAACATTCCAGAAAATTTTAGAGGAAATATTGAAAAGACATACAGATATCAACGAAATGCGAATGACGTTGAAAATAAAGGAACAGAATTAATAAAATCAATGCTTTATTGGCTCAAAGGACTTTTCGTAGATAGTTAAGTAATAAAAATAAAAGAATGACCTACAAAAAAATATATACAATTGTGTATATAAAATATTCAATAATGTAATACTTATTATTCTTAATACTCTTTACACACACACACACACACACACACACACACACACACACACACACACACACACACACACACACACACACACACACACACACACATAATTTAATAATTTAATATTTCTTTTAAGTATTGTATAACCTTAATTGCATCTTTTAATTACTATATTTCATAATTCACAATAATTGAAATAACTTTTTTAATACGTTACATATTATTAATCAAAGTGTAATAATTCTTTCTTAATCATTAAAGTTTAAAATAAATTTTAAATTTAATTTAATTTTCACTTCCCCCCCTTTCCAGACACAAATAAAAAATTATGATAACAGATTTCTATCTACAATATTCTTTACATTTTTTTTAAGTAAATCAGTTTTAGCCTATTTATTTTAAGGCAACAAGATATAATATTTTTTAACGATAATTCATTGTCGTTATTTTACATGTAGTGAAAAAGATATTTGATCTACATTTAACATAATTAATCGTAGATTCTCCGTATGAGTGTGTTATCTTTTAGTATAATAAAAAAATTCTGACTTACCAATCCGATGCGCAACGGGCGGAATTATTCAGATATTTACGATGATACTGTAACACACAAACATAAACATAAAAATAATATAATTAAAGATATGCTCAAAATAATTAATATTTCAAAAGATAATTTTTATACGCTTAATTCAAACTTTTTGATTATATATTTATTAAATGTGACTAGATACTTATCAATTTACGCGGAGCATACATTCCGTGATTTTTTTACGGAATTAAAAATCGCATAAGTGGAGCATGCCAGTAAAAAAACAACGTAATGAAAAAGCCTGCGTATGTCGTAAAAATATTTATTTTACGTATTTGCACAAAAACACAAATAATGAAAGTTTAGAAAAAAATACCGCGTAAAGAAGGAATTATTTACCGTGTAGAAACACTACGTAAAAAATACCGCAAAAATTGAGAGATAAGTGTAGAATATATATAATTATCCATTTTCTGAAAAAATCTTTGAAACAAGAACAAAATTTCATAAAATTTTGAAATGGTTCCTCTTTTTCTAATTATTAATAACTTCTCAAGATTATTAAAAAAAAAGCTGAAATAAATGGGAAAGAATATTACTTTTATGCAGATATATAATACTCACCCAAGGTTGTACCGCCGATGCTTGATGCCTCTCCCAGACCACCTCCTACTCTCAGAATTGGATTGTCATCTTTTTGCACAGGACACTCGCGAAAAACACTCGCGGATAATATACTATTATATAATCGTAGACTAATTATTAATAGAGTCTTTTTTTCGCGTGATACTGCGGCACTCCACGTTATAAAATCCATGATAAGAATGGGAGTCGTAAAAAGTCTATTAGTCCGATAATTTTAACGGTATTCCCGATACAAACGCGCGACGCGACGAACCGGCTGCGGTTCGTTCATTTTCATTTAAATCGGCGACGAGGGTACGTTATGCTTCCCCGTTATCGAATTTTTACACAAAGTGAACAATTTTGCTTAAGTATATCTAAAAATTTAATCAGATATACAATTTAGATAGATCTAAAAATTTATAGACACTTAAAAAGTCTTTTTTTTCGTATATATATTCTCGAAGTACCGAGCCCTCCATACCTTGTCAAGGTCTTACCCGTAGGAAAGAAGATATCTAAACTATATAATACACAATTACTGGTCCATTTTTTTAAATAAATATTAAGCATAGTGCGTTACCATTGCAAAACAAAAAACGAAAAATTCATTTCTGGGATCTGAGAACGCAACTCATCGTAACTCTAGTTTACTTGAGACTACAATCTATAGTGATGAAAGTTGTAGGTAAGCTACCCGATACAGGTTTCCTTTTTTCAAAGCTGTGTTCTATGGCACTCGCGAAAACAGTTAACCGTAATTACGATCGCGTATGCAATAAAAATATGATGATTGTATACCTTGAAACATTTAAAACCTTCAAAAAAATGAAAAAATACGTTACAGTTTAAAATCTGTTCTTAAATTTGACGCACGGTGGCGCTTAAGGTATTAAGGTCGATATTTCATGTTATACGATAAAGTTTTTCAAGCTTATTGATTGGCTACAAGATAGAGAGATCGGAGAATCTCTATGTTCTACAGCCAATCAACGAGCTGGAAAAGCTTGCAGTTCCGAAGGCACTGGATAAGAAAGAAAGAGAGAGAGAGAGAGAGAGAGAATCTACGCAGGTCGGCAAGAGACTAGAGGGCGCTAGTATTGCTAGTGCATTCGATATATAGTACGTACGTGCATACTTATTGAATTTGCTATTAAATGTTGTCGAGGGGCACGAATTGGAATTTGTCAAGTGTGGCTTGGGTCTCAATTAGAAGTTAAATAATATTTTTTAATATTTTTTGTCATGTTGAACGTTAAAATGATGCCGAGAAGGAGATCTATAACATTGGAAAATTGAGAGAAGATTTTTCAGCCGTTTATTAATATTGGAAGTTTAACTGGACTAACCTATAAAATGGACAAAACTAATCAGCCTTGGAAAGAAATGGGTATTACAGATCCTAAGGAACGGATTAAAGCTCTTACAGAGCATGCCTCGAGAGTAGTAATTGATCCAAATATTGCGCCTAAAAGGTAAAAGATATATTTATTATATGTAATTTATTGTATTGAAATATTACTAGAAAAAAAGATATTACTTCAAAACTTTTTTTAATTTGTAAAAATAAAGAAAAAGAATATTATGAACAAAGAATTGGAATTCAAATATCTAATTGTAAAAGATTTAAAATTAAAATCATCTTTTCTTTATGTTTATTATATAAATATATATAATTGTGTCACTGCATACATTTACATATTAAGAACACATTTGTGTCTATTTATGCCCTTCTATAAATATTACAAATATCAATAGAAATGTTATAATAATAATTGTCAATAATTAGTTTCAAAAGTTATTTAATTTTTTTTATAAAATATCTTTAATTTTAGATATTATCGTACAGGAGTAGAAATGGTCAGATTAGCAGACATGAACATGCAAGATGGCAGTTACGAAAATGCTTTTACACTATATATGAAATTTATAACGTAGGTAATAATTAATAATAACTTGTCATATGATATATAATATAATAAATATATTTTAAAGGTTACTAAATCCATGAATTTAATATAATAAAAAAAAACTTATTAGCTATTACTAATTATTAAAATATGATATATTTTCATATTTCTTATTGCAATAGACTTTTTGTGGATAAAATAAGGGGCCATCCGCAATATAATAGTGTATCAGCTAAGGAGAAAGCAATGAATAAAGATGCTCTAAGAATAGTCATTCCTAAAGCTGAAAAACTGAAAAAACAGTTATTAGAGCAATATCAAGCAGAGTTCGATAAGTATTTAGAAGATTTAAAAGAAAGAGAAAGGATTGAAAGAGAACGTTTGAGGCAAGAAGAACTTCAAAGGTAAAATATTTAATTATCTTATATATTTGTTACAGTAAAAGTATGAAATTAGTAATTTTTATTACGAAATTGGTTTTATAATATTATACATTTGTTTAGACAAAAGGAAGAGGAAAATAGGAGGAATAAAATGGCTGCACTGGCTGCTGTCAAAGCAGCTAAAACTGCTATTACTGTAAACATACCAATGGAGACAAAACATTTACCTTCCATTGCATCAAAAACTGTGATAAATCATACGAATGATGATAAAGCATTCAAAACCTCCAAAGATATGTAAGTCTTGTTATTTATATGTACAATAAAATTAAGTTTTATTGTAATAATAATATATATCATAAGATTTAATATTAAACAATTATTATTTTTATATAATTTAATATAATAAAATGCCAAAATAAATATATCTTCCTGTATTTAAAATATCTAATATATAAATATATACTAATACACAGTATACACAACATTTATTGTGATATTCAATGTTTTTAGAAAAACACCGGCAGTGGATCGTTCTACAAAACCTTCCTTACTGACGAGCAACGGATTATCCTTACGCGACATTATTTTACCGACCAAATTAATGCACAACTTTCTGACTCTTGCTTTCAGCAATACGACAAGCAATAAAGAAACATGTGGCATTCTGGCTGGGCGATTGGAACGAAATAAATTAATAGTAACACATCTATTGATACCGGAACAAACCGGAACTCCAGATTCTTGTAGTACACATAACGAAGAAGATATTTTCGATTATCAGGATCAGCATAATCTTATTACTCTCGGTTGGATTCATGTAAGATTTATTTTGTGTGTTTATTTATAATTTTATTTTATTGAAAAATTGCTAAAAGATTTATCTGTTTATTTTTAATTTAATTGTCTTAAACATATATAATTGTATTACATATTATATATTATAGACACATCCCACACAGACTGCATTTTTATCAAGTGTAGATCTTCACACACACTGTGCTTATCAGTTGATGATGGCAGAAGCTATAGCGATAGTTTGCGCACCGAAATATGATGAGTATGTATAAAAAAATATATTTTATGTATACTTTGTACCATACTAAATCCTTCAAACAGTTGTAATCATTAAATATTCAGCAACTGAATTATAAACTAATATGCTTCTTAATATATGTACTTCTTCTTTAAATTCTTTATATGTACATTTTACGATTGCTTGTTTTGTAATAATTTTTGATTTGTATAAATACTTATTAATTACTTCAATTATGAAGTTTATTTGCGTATGCGCTCTCCTACGTACAAATATTATAAGATACAAATAAGGATAAAATTTAATTATTTTGTATTTGCTATAATTTTTATATATGGAATTTTTTTTTATAGAACAGGGTTCTTTATCTTAACACCCGATTATGGTTTGGATTTTATCGCAAATTGCAGAGAAACAGGATTTCATCCACATCCTACTGAACCA